GTGTTTACACTTGTCTCCGACTTGTCTCCCACACTTGTCTTCCACTCTGGGTGCCTTGGGCCGCATGAGTTTACACTTGTCTCCTACACTTGTCTTCCAGGCTTGTCTCCCACTCTGGGTGTCTTGGGCCGCATGATTTTACACTTGTGTCCCACTTGTTCCTCACACTTGGGTGCCTTGGGCCGCATGAGTTTACACTTGTCTTCCACTTGTCTACCACACTTGTCTTTCACTCTGGGTGTCTTGGGCCGCATGATTTTACACTTGTCTCCCACTTGTCTCCCACACTTGTCTCCCACACTTGTCTCCCACTCTGGGTGCCTTGGGCCGCATGCGTTTGCACTTGTCTCCCACTTGTTTCCCACTTGTCTCCCACACATGTCTCCCACTCTGGTTGCTTGGGCCGCATGAGTTTACACTTGTCTCCCACTTGTCTCCCACACTTGTCTCGCACTCTGGGTGCCTTGGGCCGCATGAGTTTACACTTGTCTTCCATTTGTCTCCCACACTTGTCTCCCACTCAAGGTGCCTTGGGCCGCATGAGTTTACACTTGTCTCCCACTTCTCTTCCGCACTTGTCTCCCACTCTGGGTGCCTTGGGCCGAATGATTTTACACTTGTCCCCCACTTGTCCCTCACACTTGGGTGCCTTGGGCCGCATGAGTTTACACTTGTCTTCCACTTGTCGTCCACACTTGTCTCCCACTCTGGGTGCCTTGGGCCGTATGAGTTTGCACTTGTCTCCCACTTGTTTCCCACTTGTCTCCCACTCTGGGTGCCTTGGGCCGCATGAGTTTACACCTGTCTCCTACACGTCTCTTCCGCACTTGTCTCCCACTCTGGGTGTCTTGGGCCGCATGAGTTTACACTTGTCTCCCACTTGTCTCCCACACTTGTCTCTCACTCTGGGTGTCTTGAGCCGCAGGATTTTACACTTGTCTCCCACTTGTCTCCCACACTTGTCCCCCACTCTGTGTGCCTTGGGAAACTTGTCTCCCACACTTGTCTCCCACTCTGGGTGCCTTGGGCCGCATGAGTTTACACTTGTCTCCCCCTTGTCTCCCACACTTGTCTCCCACTCTGGGTGCCTTGGGCCGCATCATTTTACACTTGTGTCCCACTTGTTCCTCACACTTGGGTGCCTTGGGCCGCATGAGTTTACACTTGTCTCCCATTTGTCTCCACACTTGTCTCCCACACTTGTCTCCCACACTTGTCTCCCACACTTGTCTCCCACTCTGGGTGCCTTGGGCCGCATGAGTTTGCACTTGTCTCCCACTTGTTTCCCACTTGGATGTGGGTCAAAATGGAGACCTAGGGGACCACCGAATGTTATTCCTAATTTATTATTTACCATCCAATTATTTGGGTACCAATTTTGGACCGCTACCACGTGTTCTCCCACACTTGTCTCCCACTCTGGTTGCCTTGGGCCGCATGAGTTTACACTTGTCTCCCACTTGTCTCCCACACTTGTCTCCCACTCTGGGTTCTTTGGGCTGCATGAGTCTACACTTGTCTCCCACACTTGTCTTCCACACTTGTCTCCCACTCTGGGTGCCTTGGGCCGCATGATTTTACACTTGTCTCCCACTTGTCCCTCGCACTTGGGTGCCTTGGGCCGCATGAGTCTACACTTGTCTTCCACTTGTCTCCCACACTTGTCTCTCACTACTTGGGTGTCTCGGGCCGAATGATTTTACACTTGTCTCCCACACTTGTCTCCCACACTTGTCTCCCACACTTGTCTCCCACTCTGGGTGCCTTTGGCCGCATGAGTTTACACTTGTCTCCCACTTGTCTTCCACTTTGTCTCCCACTCTGGGTGCCTTGGGCTGCATGAGTTTACACTTGTCTCCCACTTGTCTCCCACACTTGTCTCCCACTCTGGGTGTCTTGGGCCGCATGATTTTACACTTGTCTCCCACTTGTCTCCCACACGTATCTCCCACTCTGGATGTCTGGGAGCGCATGAGTTTACACTTGTCTCCCACTTGTCTCCCACACTTGTCTCCCACACTCGTCTCCCACTCTTGTCTCCCACACTTGTCTCCCACTCTGGGTTCTTTGGGCCCACACTTGTCTCCCACTCTGGGTTCCTTGGTTCGCATGTACAGTATAATTGAAAATTTCTCCATCTGTTTGGGGTCAACGCTGGTATAATTTTGTTATATATATATATTTGTATCTACATATCTCTACATCTTTCTACACATATATATATATATACATATATATATATATATATGCACATAATATTTTTAACCCATACAGAAACCATACGGAATTGGGGGATTTCCACACATACCAGGCTTAGAATGTGCTTGTTACTCACTTACGATGCCAGGAATGCAGCCTGCAAACCGGAAGAATCTTTGGGTGTGTTACTTCAGTCAGGAAAACATGAGCTTCATTACAACATGATCCAAGTTGCAGCATTTTGATCTAAGGGCTGAGTCTGAATCCTCATGCGCGACAGCGGCAGTCATACTTTGGGGACTCCAAATTCGTTTGGACCAAACACGCAGCAGATGTGGATCTTCAAAATTTGGACTCCCCAGAGTGTGACTCGGCTCATCCGGTTGGTAGTTTCTATTCAATTCCGTCCGACTGTACTTGGGATGATGATCTCAAATGAATCTGACAAGGATAGCTGCAGCTGAATGTAGGCCCAAGACATGACATGATATCCATCGTTGTTTCTGCCTATAGAAATAGACCTTTCAACTTACATACATCAGTTGCGGTGCTGGTGAAACCAAGGGCCGTCGTTCTCGTATCATGGATCAGCTGTTTGGCAAAGGTTAGCTGCGTGAAACCAGCAGGTTTTGCCGCATTGTAGCGTGCTGCCACAGTAGCAGAACTATTGAGCCGCTGGCCCAGTTTCGTGGTGCCAGGCTTGCCTAAATCAAAAGCATGGATCATTTGCTCAGAAAATCAGCTGGAGAAGATCCATTGAAACTGCTGTTATTTCCTGGAACACTTATTTTGCTCAACCAGATACCCTCAAGATCAGGCAATGCCAACTAGCGAAGGCAGTGACACGACCGAGCGGTGTTCCCAACTTTGAGACACCTCGAATGGCAACTCCAAAGTGGAGTGTCAAGCCTTTGGATTGTGCATTTGTTCTGAAATGCGGGGCAAGTTTGCAATCATGCCACGCAAAGCACAGATGCACATATCCTGCATGTGGGTATTCATACACATTCAGTCGTTCTGTTTGTATTTATATTTAACATGTATACATATGAAAGTAATGATAGGTATATTTGCACAATAGTCAAGTAGATGTTTGTTATCATGCCTATCGGCTACATGTTTGTATGACCAGTCTCGAGAATACTTTGAATTACAATATGTATGGACACTGTTGTATCATATAAATGGTCCAGAGTCCAGCGTTCCAACCCCCCTCCCCCTGTGATTTATTTTGTTTTACGTGTCTACACAATGCATTCATGCATGTTGACATGTACACTTAATTCATATCTTTCATGCGCACTCCGCATGGCTCAAGACTAGCAGCAAACCGCTTAGTTAGAAAAGAGTGTGCAGTCGCCGTCGCTGACCGCAGGTGTTCATAGGTCTCCAGGGCTCCCCTAATAGAGGGATAGCTACCTCAAAGTGGTAGCGGAGCCTGTGCCTTCGCCAAGTCTAGATCTGTGTGCCGAACTGCCGTTCTCTGCATACCTTCCGTATATCGGACTTGCGGAGGCAACCTGTAGGTCAAGTTAGAGTAGCTGCCATGGTCTTAATCCACAACATGGATTCAGATGAAGAACAACTCCAGATTGTCTCTTATGAAGAGCCTGAAGCATATGCCGCCACCAGTCATTCCGAAAACTGGATGGGCATCAAAATGACACCAAAGGTTCCACCCCAATTTGATGGCCAATCAAGCTGGTTTGAATATGAAGATTTAATTGATGACTGGTTAGGGATCACAACATTGGATGCAGATAAACATGGACCATCCTTAAAGAATGCCCTCATTGGTTCCGCTTCTTTTTATAAGTCGATGCTCGATAATGCCCTACTCCGAGATCCGGATCGTGGCCTCGCTCATTTCAAGGACACATTGAGACCATACTTCGTGAAGGGAGTAAATCATGTGTTCCTTTGGCGATTCCTCCAGATGTTTCGCACATATCGAGGCCAGAGTGAATTCGTGCACTGGATAGGGCGATTTGAGATCGCGCAGAAGCGTTTGTTGGCTTCTTGGTCCGATCTGCTGGACATATCCGATCTCCCCGAGGCAGGCACTCAGGCATTTACAGCAGCACTCACAGATGAGCAAAGACTGCACTATAATGGAATAGTAACAGATGAAGATAAGCTAGCTTATCAACAAGAACTGAGAGAACAGACCATAACCAATAGAAGGACCAGACATGCACAGCAATTTCCATTGTCAGACAATTTGATGTCACTGATTTTTCTAGTGCAAGCAGACCTCAACGAGCAACAGCGAGAGCGCTTTGTCTCGTCCATGAACATCCGTCAGATTGCAATGCCTCAATACACCTATCTCCAAGTGAAACAGCTGTTCTTGGAACTTTTTGCCGTTTCCCGCACAGGTGTTGCAGACCCAAATATCACGCACCGCAAGCGGTCCAACTTCTACGTCATCGACGAGGGCGAGACCGAAGAAGGTGAGTACGGATTTTGGGTTTTCGATGAAGAGACGGGTGAAGAAGGTTTCACAGGTCTGTACACGGAGAACGAGTTCTGGGTTCTCAGCGCCAAGGGTTCATACTCTAAGCGCCGCATTTACGGCAGGTCCTTCAAGAAAGGTAGACCAAAAGGTTATGGCAAGAAAGGAGGAAAGAAATCAAGACCCGGCTTCCGCTCGAGGTCAAAAGGCAAAGGTTTTGCAGCATGGGAAGATGACCAGCAAGACACGGCTTTCTGGGGAAAAGGCAAGGGCAAAGGAAAAGGTAAAAAGGGCAAGAAAGGAATGATGAAAGGAAAGGATTCTTTCAAAGGAATGCCTTCATGGAAAGGAAAAGGAAAAGGTGATGCGAAGAACAAAGGAGGGAACAATCCATTTTTGTCACAACCTCCACAAGCTAATGTAGCTCAGGCTGCAACATCCAGTGCATCACAAGCCCCTGAAAAACAAGAAACAGCCCATGCCGAAGAAAGCTGGAGTTACGACTATGACACATACTGGACAGATGACTGGTCAGGTTACGAATCCTACTATGGATATGACGGAGATTACTCCCAAGGTGATTGGTACAATTGGTCGTATTTTGTTTCCGCTGAGGAACTGACCGACTCCGAGGACAAGCATTCATCCACCATTTTCGAGGACGGACAGACCGACAAGATCAACCGGTTCTGTTTTTCAGGCATCCGCTTGTTCCGATTGTTCGGACACGAACTTGTAGAGGCCCTCACATTCGTGCTTCTGTTCGTGTCTGTGATGTACCAGTGCTTTTCTGATTTGAACAGGTACCTATTGAAGAGCATCCGCCAAGTTGAGAAGAGTGTTTCTACCGGAAACGGTGATCTGCATTCGTTTCAGCCGCGCACAAGCCCGCTCGATTCCGTCTCTACGGAAGAGTGTGTATTCCTAAATTATGATCATGGTGCCCAACAAGCATTGCTTTGTGAATATGTAGATCTAGGTTCTCATCCGACTTATGTCATTCTTGACTCAGGTTGCACTCGAGCCATGGGATCCCGCTTTGCCATTGATCGCCTTGTACAGGCTTGCCAACAACATCCCAAGCGTGATCACATATGGTTTTCCAAGCAACCGTGTTCAAGTAAGTTTTCATTTGCCAATGGAGAACAATCTACTGTCAAGGAAAGATTAGTGATTCATTTTCGCAATGATCGTGCACAAACTGGTTGGATCACAACATGCGTTGACATCCTGGACAAAGGTAAGGTTCCTATCCTTTTTTCAGTTGAACAAATGAGGAATCTTCGCATGAACATTGAGCACACTCCTGTAGGTGAGTTCATGACTTGTCCACTGTTTGGAATGCAACGCACCGCATTGGCGGTCAGTACATCCAACCATCCAGTCCTTGACATTATGGCTCTTGCTACTTCCAGTTGGAAACCGATGTACAGCTTTCAGTCCGAAGACATCACATGCCCAGCATGCAATGGTAAACATCGTCCACACACCAACAAAGAGGGTTGCAAGAGATTCAAAGGATCAGAGCCTAAGCCTGCAGAGGTGCCGAAATCGGCCAAGCCTGATTCCAAGAAGATTGTCAAGAAAACGATTCAGCCTGATAGTAAGTTAGAAGTACCAGCTCAACCTTTTGATCCCGATGAAGAGCCAATGGTGGCCTCTGGGCCAAGTTCCGGTTCGAAGGACGGTATCCCAAGACGTCGGGAACCTCAGATTGAAGAAGAAACTGAAGTCAAACCGGAACCCAAGGTTGAGGTAAAACTTGAGGAGAAAAAGGAACCGTCACCTAAGGGAACTTTGTCACTTGCACTTCAGAGAATTCATGATAAGCTTCAATCACCCACTGAACTTCTCAAGTTGCATTTGAAGCATTATCACATGACCACTGAACAATTCAAGAGAAGAACATCGGCTCTGAAGTTACCAAAGGAAATCTATGACAAATTTGATCAGATCACAAAATCATGTGACACATGTTCCACTGCCAGGATTGCACCATCGAGAGCTAAGGTTTCAGGAATCAGAAGTGAAGTCTTTGGTGAACTTACCTTCATTGATCATGGAGAAGTTCCGATCAATCAACAGTCAAAACTTCAATTCCTACTTATGTATGACGGTGCAACCTCTTTGACTACTGCTTTTGTAGTTCAAAACAGATCTGATCAGGTGACGATTTCCCATCTTCAAGAATACTTTGAAACTTATCAGCTGAATCCAAAATACATTGTTGCCGATCAAGCTTTTATGGGCACTGAGATGGAGAGTTATTACAACCGGCACAGCATCAGGCCAATCTCTCTAGGACCAGGAACACCATGGCCAAATCGAGCTGAAGCAGCCATTCGCATGTTTAAGAAACAGGTCTCATTAATGCTAATTTCCTTGAAAATGATCCATTGCTTGCCAACATTACTTATAAACAGTTGTTGAGACAAGCCTGCATTTCAAGGAACACCATGGTAACACTCGGTGGTGTCACTCCTATTGAATTAGCATTTGGCAGAAGACCTGCCGATCTTACGGCGATTGAGCTCATGAATCCAGCACAGCTCACGACTGAGGCCCCTGCTCCTGAGAGACAGATTGAAGCACTAAGGTCACTGGCGATGCGAAAGTTTCTAGAGGCAAAACAATCTGATGACCTTCGAAGAGATATTGCAAGTAAGCTTCAACTTAGTGATGGACCATTCTTTCCTGGAGATAAAGTTTACTATTGGACCGAAGACAAATCAAAAATCAAATCAGACGGTTCACATGGAGGAAAATGGATAAAAGGAAAGTTGGTTTCCGTAGATGGCAGTATGGTTGGAGTTGATTTAGGAACCAGAATTGTGAAGGTCAACATC